CTAGGAACAAGAAGCGACTAGGGGCTCCTGGCCGTACTACTAGGAGCTTTGGACGCTACTAGGGGCTCCTGGCATCGCTACTAGTAACAAGAGCCGTACTACTAGGAGCAAAGGACGCTACTAGGGGCTCCTGGCCGTACTATATACTAGGAACAAGCACGCTACCTGTGTTGGTGTCCCGCCAAATTGCTTCGGAGGTTCGTGAGTCTGAGATGTTTCTGGCACTACGAAAACTTGTGGCAGATCATCAAGAGGATCAGCGGTGGCATAGCGCTGTTGAGGCCTACTTGTTATACTGTTATACCCTGTTTGATGTGTTTGTCATGTTTCATCTGAATGTCCAAACCTGGCTTGTGTTTATTTCTATTGGAAACGAAGGGATACGAAGGCTATATACCCAGCCGCCTAGACTACTGTTCCTAATGTTGCTCAAGTACGAGCAGAGACAGCAGGTGACTCGTCAGTTCCTCCGAGAATTCAGAGAGGATGATGGAGTGCAGAAGAAGCCAGTTTACAACGTGACATGTCTTTGACCAGGTGTAATGTGAATAACTTTCCTACCAATGTGTGACTGGATTGAGGGTTTGGAAAGAATCGCTGTGCGTCCTTTAGCATTTCAATTAAACCCCATTGCCATGTCTTCCTTAAATCATTGGAGTCAGCAAGCTGAGGAATTCTACTGATATGAATTCGGCCAAAAGAGCCAGCTCAAAACAAACCGTTCTGTACGGCCCCATTTGCATGAGAAAAAAATGTGGCGCTGTTGAATGATGGGCAAAGGTGCGTTAAAGACTGGAGGCAAAGTGAATTGCAGCAAGATGACTTGACGTGCTTCGACGATCTATGCAGACATGGATGGTGCAGTGACTGTGTATACTTTCTCTTGCGGGCTTGTGCAGGTGGTGAGTCAAGTTCTGGAAACGCAGAGGGCAAGCTTTCAGAGCACAGGTCGGCGGAGAGCGGAGGAGTTGTTAGATGTTGTCGTGTTAAAAGTTCAAACCTTCAAGCATGATCTCCCAATCATGTGGAAGAATGTCCCTTTTAAAGGGCAAGAAGAGTACTATCTAAGTTGCGCAGACTTCTTGTGTCATTGTGCGAGCTTGATGTTGGTCAGCCTGTTGGGTAGGGTCCTAGTACACCGCGCTTAGAGATCTCTCACTGGTGGCGCACAGGGTGCATACCGCCATAGCGCTATTGGGGAACAACACAAACAAGCAGAACAATTACACATGGTAGCTAGAGCTGTAAACTACTTTATGTCATAATCCACACAACAGGCAATCTCGTGCAAAGGACCTGCACAACAGGAATGAAGCCACCGCACGTGGTTAAGATCCGCAGAAACAGACAGCATGTGTGAGGAATGCTGGATCAAATTCCATATCCTTGCTGAAATTGAGCAAAGCTGAAATGGAGCAGCAAGCGCTCGCAACAACCGTTGATGATGCAGGTACAGCCTATGATTCTTTGTTTAACTCCACTTCGCCATACTTGTACCAACAAGGTTTGTGTGATGAGTGCACAGCTCATGTGAAGAAAACCAAATTTGTGTAAGATCTAAACTGGACAACCTTTGCTGCTGTTTGCAAGGCAGTTGCACAAACAAAGACCAGGAAATAGTGTCAGGAAAACAGCTGCTTTTCTGAGACAAATCACCTGTTTCCCGGTTTGCATTAATGATGCTCTACTGTTTAGAAGTTTAGAACATGTTCCAACGAGTCCCTGCAAAAGCTCGGTGTAAATTCTTAATACGAACTCTTTCTGGGCACATAAGTGTTTCTTTAAAGTGAAGTCAGAAGATGTCAGAAGTCTGGTCTTTCTGACCCGCTGCAACTTGCTGTCCTTCAGGAATCGCAACATGCTCCAGGCAGTTTGACCAGCGTCAAGAGTTTAGTGTCAACACTCGTGACACGGGAAGCTAACCACGTGAGGCAGCTATGTAGAGTCCTTCCCATCGATCATACCTGTGCCACGACTGCAAATGATCTAATGCTCATCAACGGCACTTGGCTGAGAAAGCTCCATGGATTTGGGGGTGCCAGGCTCTTGCCCGATTGAGGCAAGCCACAGATGGAGGATTTCAGAAAGCTGGCTCAGGCTTCCGATGCCCATTGATCGAAAGGATTCGGCAAGGCAAACTAAAGCAACGCAAAACCTGAAATCAGTGGCGTGTTCATTCGCTAATTCAACTGGTTGTACTTCTGGGCCGGTGGTAGAGAAAGGAGGTGCTGCCTGCACACCTTGGAGTAGATGCTGAAGCCACCACCTGGGCTTTGGAGCAAGCTCCTCAAGCTGAGAACATGTGACGGCTGTTGTGGCAAGCTGTCCTGACTGCTGACACTGAGGTTCAAAGCCCGGAACAATGCAATCAAAAAGGAGGCCATGGGGCCAGGATGAGGGGCGTGAAAGATGGTGACAGAGGCTCAATTTGCATACTAGGTTCGGCTGTAAGTCGACTCGCGTTGTTCTAAGTTGATTCGGATGGGCGTGCCCATGCGGTTTGTGGATGTATAGTATTCTCAGATGTTCTTGGAAGGATCCAATTATGTCGGTGTGCACAATGCCTTTTTGTACTTATCATTACGAAAGCCAGCCTACCAGGGGTCGGAGCTCATGTCGAGGACAGGAGTGCGGGGAGAACAGAATGCAGTCGGCAAACTTTGAGTTGCTCCCAGGGGTGCCCTTTTTTAACGCTGAAGAGGCCTAGTAGCCAGACACTCAAGGACACCCTATATGGGGTGGGAGTTCATGTGGAAGACAGGCATAGCGGAGGAGGACGTGATGTGATAGGAAAAGAGGGACTGCAAGAAACGATGTGACCCGTTGAGGACAGGAGAGGGAACGGAATGCATCGAGCAAGCTTTGAGTTGCTTGGGGGTGCCCTTGTTTATGGTGACGAGGCCTGTTGACCAGACGCAAAAGGGCACCCCATATGGGGTGGGAGTTCATGTGGAGGATAAGGAAAAGAGGTGGGGAGCTCACCAGGGATCTCGCGTTCATCCCCCATGACCATATTGATATCTTCTTACGGAGGCTGGTTTTCGTCTCCTTCCTTCTCAGGCTTCAACTCACTTCATCGGAGTGTCATTGGCTCACTTCTTGCTTTTCATGCTTTGCTTTGTCGCCATGAGTCAAACATTGCCAAAATACGTTTAAAGAACATATCGGACTGTGGACCTGTGTTTTGCTACGTCCCGCGGCCCTCACGCAGGGTCGTGCTGGCCTCGCGGGGCAGGGCCTAGGTAATGTAGATTAGAAATAAAAGCGCTTAGACCGCTTTACACCCAATGCACGTTGTACCATGCAGTTGAACTGCAGTTGTGTCGACTTGGCGCGACGTGCGTTGACTTACGGTTCCCCCTCGTGTAGGAAACAATTCCGGACGATTAGGGAGGGGAGATTAGCCTCGCTTTTGAAGCCGTACCGCATTTGATCAATCTTTGCTGTTGAGTTTCTCAGAATCACCCGTGTTTTTTTGAAGTAAACTGTTGCAATCTCAAAGGATGCGTTCGTGTGAGCTGGCTGCTTGACTTGTGAGGCAGTTCTTGAAGTGCTTGACTCAATTGCGCCAAAGGAGCGCCACAAGGCCAAATGGTCCATTGGTCCATTCATGGTGATGTTCTTGCTCAATGAAGATAGTATCGCTGTGATGCGTTTTTTTCACAATCATTGAAGTTGACAATGGCCCCGCCGTAGAGTGTGCAAGCAGTACTTGACCTCGCCTTAAGCATATCGCAGAACCTCCAGGGTCAAGCTGTTGGCCAGGTCAGCTTGAACGACCCTGCCAAGTGTGTCATTGTGCAGGTACTGGCAGGGTGGAGCACGAAGCATGTGTACATATTATATACAGTATATAATATTGTTACATTTACATAAATAAAATCGCCCAGGTGAGTAGTCAGGAGCAAATTCTTGCTTCAGAGGGCCTTCTTTGCCAGCACCTGTCATATTGAAGAGACCCTGTTGAGACCAATTGTTGCGCAGTGAACGAGTGAAGCCGTGCAGATTCTGGGGCCAGGTGACGGCACAATGGTGTGGCTTAAGCGTTGTGCCTCACTGGGCAATGCTGTGCAGCTGGCATGCCTTCTGTAGTGATTGAATAGATTTGAATAGCATTAATTATGCAACCTTTAATTATGGTTGTGCATAATGATTTCGACACCCTCATGAGAATGTGTGCGTGTGTGCATGTGTGAGGTATGCCTTTGTGTATGTGGATTTTGCATGACAGCACAACACGGCCATTTGTGAGCTGAAGGAAGAAGTACAACCTAAATGCGCTGACAACACCTGAGGCACGGGGGTCAACATCGTCAATGTAGCTAAAGTCAATGTGTCATGGCGATATCAAACAATGCATGAGCTTGTAGCAACATATCTTACCTTATCTTTAATCAATAATGCTCACCTTGAGGACTCAAAAGAAAAGAATCGGCCGTTGCCAACTACTATCCCGATTCCAGAAACATTGAATGATCAATCAACATTACAAAGTATATCCGATATTGACAAAAAATAGATTAATAAGTCAACAAATCAAATGAGAACCGTCCAATAGAATATATACTATAATTTCAATATATTTAATTATTGCGCAATATGTTTTATATTGTAAGTATTTTTGAATCTATATCTTAGAAAATCGATATAATAATTTATAAGGAATATATATCATTATCGTTGGTTTATGTTGGTTATATATATATAATAATTTGAATTTTATGGAACGAAATGGAATTGGACGTTTAACAATGTGATTTATTTAGATTTGTTTTATGTGTGGATTTTCGATTTCGTTTGGGTTTTCGACCTCGTAAGTAAAGATGAAGGATTTTGATTCGTGTTATTTGTAGTTTTGTTTTTAGTTTCTCGATGGATGTGGGAATTATATTTATTATTTCTGGTATTATATTCGATGTTATGATGGAATGATTTTGGGGATGTTGATATTATATATATATATTAATTATTTGATTTTATAGAGGTTTGGATTTAAATTGAATATATATTTAAATTAATATATATATAAATAATATTAAAGATTATGATAAAAAGATGATTATTTAAATTATTTGGTAAATATTTATTTATATATTTAATTAATATATTGGAAATCGAATTTATATATATAGAAAAAGCAAAAATGTTTGGAAGAAATATATATATAATAAGGAATATTTATTTTTATATATTTATATGCTTTGGAATAATTGAAAATATATAATTTAAATATTTAATTGAATAAATAAACCTACATATTTGATTTAATTTATTCTAGGTGATATTTGGGAATTTCGACGAACGTTTTCCGATATTTTTGTATTAATATTGTTTTTGATTTTTATATTTCTATTTTTTTATTTTTTGTTGTTGCTTGATTATTTATATTTTCGATTTTTCTTTTTTATCTTGATCCTTAAGAATTTTTTATATTCGAAAATTAGGTGAATTCGCTTTGTGGCAACAATTTAATTTTGTGAAAAATATGCGTCGCGCACGATTGGGGGGTAGTTTTTTTTGCTCAACATATATCCTATAAAATAATATATGATATGCATAAAATAACGATTTAATGACATAGAATTGCATCAAGAATTTCAGAAACATTAATTTGGTACGGACCGTAAACAACCGGTAGTTCGTGACCTAAAATCCTTTTTTCGTGCTTGAAGGAGGATTTAACGTATTCACAATACCAACGTGCACAGTATTGTATATAGCTAGCTCACAGCACCAGCCGGCTCCCGACACCAACACCATCAACCTATTTCCATTATCCGCATAGCCAGCTTACAACACCGGCACCAATAACCTGTTTCCACGACGTGTACAACCAATTCAACCAATTCACACCACCGGCACGCGGCACCACCAGCACCGGCACCAACACCAGCAACCTGTCTCCACATACGCAGCCAACTCACAACACCGGCACCCGGCACCAGCAACCTATTTCGAAAGCGCGCACGGGCAACTCTGTTGATTTGAAGTAAGAACCCCATAGCTTCGTTA